CCTCCCTCCTATTTGTTGGAAAGGGGGGGGGGGGGGGGGGGGTGTCCCCCGTGCCTGTTTATTTCAGTGGGTTTTTTTGCCCCACCATTTAAAAACAAAACAAAAGGCTATGAGGTGCTATAAAAGCATTCCTATAGGAAAAAAACCCAAAACCTTGCAAGCAAAGCAAGAAGAACAGGGAGATCCAAATAAAAGGAGGGGAGCAGTAAAGAATGAGCTGTGTAAGTGGCCTTTTTGTTTGAACAAACACTTTAAATGATTGTGTAAGGAATAAATGTGAAGAGTACCTGATATGAAATGTATGTCAGATATTTTTTTCTGGCATTTCTGTATGACTTTAAATCACACTGATTTTTTTTATCTCCTCCTTCACTGTCCCCTTGTCCACCCGTGAATGTCCACATTCTAATTATTTTTCTCTTTTCTTAAACAGGAGCAAACATGGAGCTACCAACTACATTCCAGAGCAGTTTTTAGATGACTTTATTAATCTTGTTGTGTGGGGACATGAACATGAGTGTAAAATAGCTCCATTCCAAAATGAACAGCAAGGTTTCTACGTTTCTCAGCCAGGAAGTTCAGTGGTGACATCTCTGTCCCCTGGAGAAGCTGTGAAGAAGTATGTGATCTTTTCTTTTTGTTCTTCTTTATCCCTTGCCTTATGTCTTCTGTGTGTTGAGAAAGGAAAAATGCTTCTATTAGGCATGAATGGACTTGTGTTAAAGTGTGGAGTAGCTTCAGAGTGTGACATAACAAATGAAGTAGATGTGCCTAGAATAACATTTGTTTTACTTAGCATTATTTTACTTAACATTTGAAGCAAATGGAACTTATCCAAGACTGGTTACACCCCAGTATATTGGAATACAAGGAACTGTGTACATGTGCTTGTATATGGGACGAGCACAATCTGAATATAATAAAACTGAAGTGTGGCAGGGCCAACCCTGAAGTACAGATCCAAGAACTTCCTGTAGCTTTTAAACTTTTGTCCCTGAAAAGTAAACATGAATTTAAAACAAGTCTATACCATGGTTCATTTAAGTTTATATTCTAGTAGGTTGCCTTTCTCCTTCTAGACACATTGGTTTGCTGCATGTTAAAGGGAAAAAAATGAAAATGCAGAAGATTGCTCTAGAGACAGTGCGGACTTTCCACATGGAGGATGTTGTTCTAGCTGATCATCCAGATCTTTTTAATCCTGACAATCCTAAAGTAACTCAGGCAATACAAGCATTCTGCATGGAAAAGGTAACTTGTCATGCTAACAGTATATGGATAACAGTGTGTGGACAGGGAATAGGGAATGGGATCTGTGACTGGTTTTGAAACGGGAAGATGAGAAGTCTTGTGTCTTGCCCCGTATTACTTGAGATGGACTCGGGCTCTGTTTCCATAGGAAGCTAATTCCATTACATTCACTGCAGCCTTGGCTTCCAGATTCCTTGGCTTCCAGATTCCTTGACTGGAATGACCTATTAAAGTGGGCTTTATGTGAGTCCATATCGTCTTTGTACAAAAACTTCCACGTAAGAGTGGGGCAGTGTTGGATGCGCACTGTGGAACTAGCGTGAATACATGCACCTACACCCTGAGAGCTGGGCGGTGTGAAGTGGCAGAGGAGCTAACCAGGCTTATTAATTGCTCTTGGTTCTTAGGTCTGTATAAGTCTCTTCTTGCTTTTCCCTGGAACTGAAATTTAGCAAAGGATAATGGCTATAAAGTAAAATGATATGAGTGATCAGTGATGTAGATACTGCTGGACTGCGCTATATCTGAAAGATAAGCCTTTCATTGTGACTTTTTTCTCAGTCATTGTTATAGCTTTTGGCTGGATACTGGTACATAGGTGTGCTCAGGAATGAGAGCATATCCTATAATTAATTATTTTTGTAGCTTTTCCCTGCAGCTGGATGTATTTTAAGTTATACTTGAAAGGTTCAGGCATCTGTAAGAGAACAAAGTGGAGCTGAATTTCTAATTCTGCTTCACAGGTCGAATTGATGCTGGACAATGCAGAAAGAGAACGCTTGGGAAATCCACGCCAGCCAGAGAAGCCTCTCATAAGATTACGAGTGAGAAATTGTTCAGTTTGGATTGCTTTATTTTGAAAGGTCACTCTGAAAAGTTTCAAAGCAAAGTTGTGGTTTTTGTATAAATAATATATAAAATTTCATCAAATATAAATCACCGTCATACAATGATCCTGTTTACCTGTGGTGTAACTAGCGTTCTGTGGTAAAAGATGAGATTGGCGCTAAGTGTACTTCACTGCTGGTCTGAGTAAGGGCATCGGCAGTGGCTATTTACAGAGAAATTTTTCTTAAGTCATGTTATCCTGTGTTTGTTCCTAACCTAATTTATGGAAACTGTACTGAAGGCTATATGAAGCAAGTTAGGAACAAGTTACGAATCTGGGCTGTTATTAGCTATTCTGTTGATTTTATTATTACCTATTATTATCAACTAACTATTCTGCTTAGTATGGTAAAGCATTAATTTTAGATTGTCTTATTTTTTACTGTAATTTTTCCTTTGAAGGGTAACAAACTCATCTTGATTTGTGTGGCTTCTCTATTTCTGTTTGTTTTACACCTTAAATTTTTCCTTTCCTCTCTTAGGTTGATTATACGGGTGGCTTTGAACCATTCAGCATCCATCGTTTTAGCCAGAAGTACGTGGATAGGGTGGCAAACCCAAAAGACATTATACACTTTTTCAGGCATCGTGAACAAAAAGAGAAAAATGGTAATTATAGAGGAAGGCATCATTGGCTTGCCTTGGTTTTCATTCTTCTTCCTTTATTTGTTACCCAGCACTTGCAAAGGCTTGGTGTCTACCATCTCATGTGATATAGGAGGGGTAAAGATGCATAGTCTCATTTAAGTGTGTATATGGCACAAGTATTTATGTTCTATTTCTGGGTTTGTCTGAAATTCTGATATTCAGCATAACATCTTCTGACAGTTATTTGTAAATAATTCCTTTTTCTTTGACCTCAAACCTTACTGAGTTGTGGTAATACATGTAGTCCCATACCAGACTGAGTTACCCCATGATTCTATGATAATTACCATGGAAGACATTAAACATCTCACTCCTGAGACTTCTCAGAATGAGGTGGTTGGTTTTGGGCACTCTGCAGGAAGAGAGATGAGTGTTGTACTTTTTCCTTTTGTTCTATAATTTTATTGCTGTAGTAATTAATTTGTTCATACCTAAAATAGTAATGGAGGGGATGGGCTTGAGAGATGTTTGTATATTTAAAAAAAAAAAAAAATCCGAATGTACGACAGTATTTTGTTTGCCCTAATTAGTCATGTGTATGAGGTGCTCTTGGCTTGTCTGTTCCAGGTATGTCGCTATTCAAGCATTTGTGCAAAACAAATAACAGCTGTTCCTATTGTAGCATTTCTCACTGTGCCTAGAATTTTTAATAAATGGTTAATAGATGTTACCCAAATACTGGATTTGTAATAGTTGCTAATGAAGATACAGCTTGCAAAAGAACATACTGTGCTAAATAACTGTTAATATTTCACATTAGTGCACTGTAAGTACTCCAATTCCATTGACAATTTTTACTTACACTGTCAGTTTTATAAAGTTCACATCATTTTTCATGAATAAAACCTGCTTTTAGTGAGGTTTTTGTAATTACGCTGTATTGACTTTGGTTTATTCTGCTTTATTGTTTTTTTTAATAGTTGTGTAATCTCATAAACATGGAGTACAAGATAGCTACCACATCTGTCACCATGTTTCACCAGTATATTTGAATTTTCTTACTTAACGTTCATCTCAGCTTCAGGAAGGGAGTGTAAAAAGAATATCATGGATATTTGTGTTGCTTTATTAGATATCCTCTAATACAAGGGAGGTGGCTAATAAAGCAGTCAAATTTTTCAGTACATGTGCACATAATGCTGCAGTTCAGTACAGGTGATGTTAAGACTTCATGAGTTCAGAAGTTGCTACTGTTTCTTTTGTTATAGCTGCCTATATAACAAAGCTAACAAAACGGTGGTTTGTGCCTGCATGTGGCGGATATCTGGAAGCAATCTGTAGTCACTCTGTATTGCTTTGTGTGGTACGTGGTAACCTTAGTAATTATCCCTTTCATTCTTCTGTTATTCCAACCTTGCTGCCTGAGAACAAGGGGCAGCCATAATGAGCTCTGAACATTTTCTACTGAAAATCCACCAGCATGCTTTGGAGGAAAACTTCTGTGGTAACAGAGTTACTTATAAAAAAAACCAAAACAACCCATGTGCTTTGATGGGTCCTTTGGTTTTCTTCCATTTGTGATCTTCTAGAGTTCAAGTATAATAACCTTCAGGACGTAGTGTTCAGTTTATAATTCCAGATATTTGGTAGTTAGAAGAACGCTTTGCATCTGGTAGAGGTGGAGTTTCTCTTGTACAATTATTGTATCCCTTATGTTTACCTGTGTTTCCAGACAATAGACTCTATGGTTAGAACAAAAAACCTTTATATATAAAAAGGACCACAATTCTTAAGAGGCCTTTGTTACCCCTTTTTCCTATTACTGTTTGTGGGATGGTAATAATTAAAAGCTGCAAACCTGGGTGATAGTGCCACTGTGCTTTTGTATTCTAGACAGTGATCTTAATTTTGGAAAACTGGTTAGCAGACCAGCTTCTGAGGGGATGACACTGAGGGTGGAAGACCTTGTAAAGCAGTATTTTCAGACAGCGGAAAAGGTATCTTTCTACTTCTTATGATTATTTTTTAATGGAATATAATCTTTTTATTTTTTTTCTTAATGGAAGTAATGTGCTCTGAAAAGACTCTGACATTCACCAAGAAGTTAATTTATTTCCTATATAACTGTATATGAATTCCTATGTGAACTATATGTCTCAGTTACTTGTTATATGAAGACATGCTGGTTTGAGAACGTTATGATAACTTCACTGCCCTGTACTAAATGGTGTGTCATGTTTTTACAGGAGGAAAATGCTCTGAGTGAGAAGCTAATTTATTATAGGGTCTGTGTGAGACTACCATTTACTGTTACCAGCTGACTTGGAGTAACTTGTTACTTTGCAATATATTTGTGTTCTCAGACATGGTGCAATTCCATATTATATTTAAAGCAGAGCAGGGAGAAGGAAGAGAGCCCCCCCAGTAGTTTGCTGTATCCCCACCCTTTCATTAAACCTGTTTATTTCCCCTTCCCAGCACCCGGGCAGTAGCATCTCAGAGGTAATCGGTGGGTCAGATGCCCAAATGCTTTGTCTAGATGATCAAGCATAACTTTCGGAAACTACTTCAGGACATGTTTTGTAGAAAGTCATGAGAACGAGGGTTCCTGAGGCAAAGATCCCCCAAATTATGTCATCTGTCCTAACCTTAGACCCATGTTAGGTGTCAGTATTAGATGGCATATATCATACCCTGGAAGGGCTATTTGACTTCTGAATATCATAGGGAACCTCAGGTGACTAGTTTAGAAATAGGTACTACTTAAAATGTATGCCACCCCTAAATTTCATGGGGAGGGGTAGCAGCTCTATTATTCTATGAAAAATAAATTTTACTTTTAATCTCTTTTCCTCCCGTATTCTGCAAAATTGTCCCATTACACCATCTTCTCAACTTGTTTGTACATTCTTGTGTAAACAGCTAGGTTACCGGTCCCTGCAGTTGAGGCCTGGCATCAGCAGCTCAGCATCTGTAAAGACCTGAAAGAATCCGTTGATGTTCTGGGAAGTCTTGCAGTAGAGGGATAATATGTTTTAAGTTAACATTGGTAGTGGAAGAAAGAGGGAGGGAAAAAGCATATTGTGCCCCAAAATTATGATAGCAATATTAAACGTTGTTTAGATAGCTTGTGCTTCAGGCTTTGCTAGACACCTGATCTTGTCTGATTAGGGAAACAAAAGAGTCCTTGGACCCTGAGGTGGCACAGGGCTGTAGTTGGATATTCAAAAAAAGATGAAAAATGTCTAACAAGTACCAGACTCTGTTCAGTTCCAGTGTTGCTGGTAAGCTGAGGCCTGAGAATGTAAATCACTGCTATTTGTCCTTTTAGCAGGCTTTTTTTTTTTTTCTTTTTCCTTTGGAAGAAAGCTTAGTTGCTGAAAGTCAACATGAATGTTCTGCATCATTACAATCAGTCACTCTTTTGAGATGCTTTTTTTTTTGTTTGTAAACTTTTGTTTTATAATAACTAAAACTTATTCCTCTGCACACCATTATTTCAGGAAAGGTTTTATGCTTCCGATGCAACCCTCAGAACAGTTTCTAAAGGACACCTAGAAGGATCAAAAATCATTAATAAGCATATATAATGCTTATTACTAAGAAATTATCTGTGCTGTAGTTTACAGACAAAAGGGATTGCTATTTAAACCTTACTGTCTGTATGGGGGTTTCATTCTCAGAACATCTCATTTTACTGTATTGGGAAGGAGAGCAAAGAGAATGGCTGTGAAACACCACCAGTAGCATCTACTACTTTTACTAATTAGTGTCTGTAGTAATATCTTAGTGTAGAAGAATATCTTGAATATCATCTTACTTGACGAACGTGTGAGAACTATTGGTATTTGCAGAATGCATTTCAGTAGAGTAGACTTCTGCTTCATAACTCTTAATGCTTCATAACCATAATTTGCCCTGCTCTGGAACTGCCATTTTTTAATGTTAGAATTTTACAGTAAACCGAAGTAATTTAGCATCTGTAATAACTCAGGGCCTGTTTTTAATAGTGTTTTTATGTCTCTGCAAGTTGATCTTAACTTCAGTTTAAAAAAAGGAAGGGAACTAGGAAAGAATACAGTTTACCTTCTCTTCTCCTCTCAGCAATACGTTTCAGACAAATTATTTTAAGTAAGACTAGTACTGTAGTTTCCTTACGGTTTATGAAACTCTTCTTTCAAAAGGGTTGCAACTGTATTATGATGAGAAACATGTTTGCTTATTGCTTGGCTTTTCTCTGATTGTAATCTTGGGTTTTGGAACCAACAATGTAATATTTATATGAAACAGCA